ACTATTGAATAGAAAGTAAATCTAAGTATTGTTACCTTAAAATCGTCAACCTTTCTAAAAGGCTAATAGCATTTAATAGAACTTCCAAGATTAATTAAAAGATTGCGGGACCAATTCAAGGAACAACAGTGGAAGAGAGTATCAAGATTGAAATTAACACCTAGACGAGTAGAAGGTAAGCGTTGACATAAGGTGGACGTAAGCGTGGTTGGGATAAAGAAGGGGAACATTGAGCCGAGTTAGCAGTTTTCATCCAGTCTTCGCCCAGATGTAACCAGTACAAAACTAGTAAAAGAGCTCTTGTGTGAATTTGGAAAGATAAACTAAATATTATATTTTAATTTACAAGTAGGAAATACAAAACATTAAGAAAACGTCCACCATCAACTTCGTATGCTTCTCAGAGGTTCTCGTTTATCTTGGCCGCTTTGTATACGGTAAAGTGCGTGTTCATGAGAAGGTTAAAATACCTCATTCTGGGTTGTAGCATTGATCAGTAAAGGTGATCATTCCCATAGCTTATTGCTTAGTGATAGACGCCAATCTCATGATATCTGTTTCAGTTACTCTTTGTTCACCTGAGAGTAAACCAATAATACAAAAAATAGATTGTGCTATTAAAAAGAATCAAAGCTACCATTTTCAAATGGCACAAATCGGTTGAGTTCAGTATGGATTTTTAAGCTGTAACTAAAACGACTTCTTAAACTTTCTCCGGGAATGAATGTTTACTTAATGACTAGTAGAATAAAGACAGGGAATGGATTTATTTAATGCCATTGTTTTTACCTTTTTAAACAAGTATGTATTGTTTGTGTTGCAAAAAGTATTTATTAACTTTCTCAGACTAAAACACCTGATCACTGATCAGTCGTGCGGTGCAAGTTTCACCTGTTACTGACTCTATATGCCTAACTGTCCCATATTTAATTGCCGTCACTACGGTTTCCCCATAAGAATGGACTGTTGCTATCACATCAGCTCAACCCCCCGACGTGTTACTAAGCCACCAGAGAAGATAGACAACTCCGGGGCCCTTTTTATTCCGCAGGTGTTTCTATTATGTTAAGACAACTTTGGACCTTTTGGACAAGTTAATAGTGGCGGGGTAGTTGGGAAGGGGAGGGAGGGGGAGGGGTGGGGGTTTAGAGAAAAGAAGGCTGGGAAAATTGACCAGGTCCTTTAAGGAGTGAAATGAGTTTAATAAAACCACTCGACTTGAATGAAGAGCGATGGTTGTGGTATTTCAATTGTCAAGATATAATTCCAATTCAACAGAGCTTTGAGTATGAAATGTTTCCCATAATACGCTTTGGAATGTGTAAAATAGTAATTCTTTCCCAATTTGAGTGGGAAGCATCTAGATAGAGTGAGCAACAAAAATTTCTTCTACTTATGCAAAGGGAGAGTATGACTTGAAAAAGTCATTAATGAAGTCGGCAATTCGGAGTCCTACTTTCCTTTGAATACAAGGAACAATGAGCCATCCATAATCAGTTTAGAAATATTTATTTATTTATATATTTCAAATGACAGGCGTTTTGATAGCTATCATTTGCCATTTAGCTGACTTCGGGCTTCATAGGGGGAAGGAACATCAAAGTAGAAGAAAGGCGAGGGGCGGGGAACAGAAGAGCGGTTTACAGATGTAAAAGGGGCAGACGGACACAAAGGTAGAGAAAAAGATAAGATGAGCACTGTAAAAGGGGTCGAATATGACATACAGTGAGGTCGTGGCAGTTTGAAGTCAGAAGTCAACTGCCAGCTAATAGACTTTTTTGCCGTATAAGTATACGTTGCCAAGGGTGCACCACGTGGAGGTAAGTCTATCGTACACCCCTTTTAGAAATATTGCTAACAATAAAATTCATTAATATTCAATTATGGGGATTTGACTTTTAGTTTAAAGGTAGTTGACTGTGTGCTTTAACCCTTTAACGCTAGAATCTTTTTTTGAAAAATGAACCCAACCACGGTCACGCGAGTCTCACAGCAGAATGATGCCCACGTGATTAGTTTTGGTAGAATTAGGTGAAAGCTCTGGACGTATTGAACATATTTCAAACGTCAACAGCATCTTCCGCTAAGATTTTAGTATCAATGGAGCGTAAATGATAAATTCAGTGGTTGGTCATACCTACCTCCGCCAATTCATTTGTTCCTTCTCAAAGCCTAGACCAGGTAGCTAATGGTAATGGAAATGACATTCAAAATGGTAACATTTTCCATTAAAAAACTTCATTCATGTATCGAACGGGTTTTTTTCGTTTAATTCAAGATATATGGTACCTTCGAACATCAAACTGTAATGATTTTTTTGCGACCAAAGGTTCTTAAAGAAATTTCGACATTTTCACTTTGGGTAAAAGTAACAGTTACAGCTGGAGATGAACTTATTGCTATTTTAGATCAGAACATTTAAGAGGCTTATTAAAAAGTAGCTTATAACTAAAGTGTTTTTTTATCTACAATGGTTAATTTTCCAGTATAACGAAAAATGCATTATCGATTTGGAAGGCGTTTTATCTAATTCAAGTATTTAATCTAATATTTAGGTACAACACTTGATTTAATGCGTAGCAAGTTAAACAAATTAGAAATCGAAAAAACGCTAATATTTTGAAATAACCATGCACCATTTGATATTTGGAGGGATTGTGAACAAATTTTTACCACTTGAGCAAAAAGGACTGAAATTAAGTGTGCAGTGAATGCTGTCAGATGGTGTAAAAGGACATCTCGGCAAAATCTGACCTGTAGCTGAAATGAAGCGTGTAAAGAAAAGCCTTAAAATGGACACCTGTAAGATGTTTAAGTGGCCGTGTGAATTCTGTAAAAAAACATGCTATTAGTAAAGTAATTCACGCATTAACGTCATCCTTCAGAATTTTATAGAATATATTATTATTTGTTATGGGAGAGTTTGGGTAAAATATGTTATTTGTAATTTTTTGGTTTAGACATATCCAACGTCAATTATAAAACTGAATTTAACTTTCCAGTGAAAGAAAATGGAAGCTTACTTTATTCGCCTCAACCAATACGAATTAAATGTTTACGAACTGTAAAATTAGTAATGCATCGAGATAGAACGACCAAACATCCAATTCGATCAATGCTAATCATAAAATATTATTTTGGTAGCTTATTGTCGTAACCTGAGGCAGAAGCACTGAAAATTTATGGCGTGCTTAGGTTAACTATTCATATGTGGTCAAGTAGAGTTGATTAGAAGATACCAGTTTACGAAAGAAATGACCCTTTTTAAAACATGAATAAGACTAGAAAAATAACCCCAACTATAAAAAGAAAAGATTGCTACTAAAATTAGAATAGTAGCATCAGTAATATTAATGCAATGACTAATCAAGGGGTGTGCGATAGACTTACCTCCACGTGGTGCACCCTGTTGGGTGTGCGATAGACTTACCTCCACGTGGTGCACCCTGGGAAACGTATACTCATACGGTAAAAAGTCTATTAACCGGAAGTTTGTGTGCGATAGACTTACCTCCACGTGGTGCACCCTGGGCAGCGTATTTTCTTACGGCAAAAAAGTCTATCACTCGGCTTTCGGGTATACTCATACGGCAAAAAAGTCTATTAGCTGGCAGTTGACTTCTGACTTCAAGCTATCATGATCCGACTGTATGTCATATTCCTCTACTTTCACAGTACTCACCTCACCTTTCCTCTGCCTTTGTGTCTGTATCCTTTCCGTCTGTGAATCATTATTCTGTCCTCCCTCTCGACTTTCTGTTACTTTGATGTTCCTTCCCCCTGTGAAGCCCAAATTCAACTAAAGGGCTAATGATAACTATCAAAACGCCTGCCACCAACTAAAGGGCTAATGATAACTATCAAAACGCCTGCCATCTGAAATAAAAATAAATAACTAATCAAATGCATGCTGTTCCATTTAGTGGCAGTTTAAGTAGCTTAGCAAACAGAATGACAGCGTTATCGAAATAAAAGTTATCAACGTTCTTCTAAGAAATTAAAGAAGCGCTGAATTTAATACACTACTCTAAATATGCCAAATTAATTCCCTTAAAATGCGCATTTGTCAAAATAAAACACGTAGAAATGAAATTATTTATTTATTTATTTCAAATGGCAGACGTTTTGATAGTTATCATTAGCCATTTAGCTGACTTCAGGCTTCACAGAGGGGAGGAGGAGGAACATCAAAGTGACAAAAAGTCGAGAAGGGGGGGGACAGAATAATGATTCACGGGTGTGACAGAGATAGACAAAAGAGCAGAGAAAAGGTAAGATGAGTACTGTGAAATGGGTTGAATATGGCATACAGTGGGGGTAGTTTGAAGTAAGAAGTCAACTGCCGGTTAATAGACTTTTTTGCCGTATGAGTATACATTGCCCAGGGTGCACCACGTGGAGGTAAGTCAATCGCACACCCCAGAAATGAAATTATGAAAGCTAATAAATTATATTGAAGGAAAACCTCTGTCAAAATAAATATATGTAAATTTTAAATTTCTTTATTTTTTAAATTTTATGCAAAAATGATGATTTTATAAGGCATCTTTAATTTTGTTATAAATATATCAATAATAAGCATGATATATTAAAAATGCTTTTTCCGTTCATTATATTAATAAAAAATAATTATAAACAAAATTAATTCTAAATAAATTACTTTCTTTAAGCTGTGTGCTGATTTTATGAAATTATGTAAATTGGTTTTGATGATGCTGCTGATGTATAAATGTATGGCCAAAGATTGCAGGTTCATTTTTTCCAAGGTGCCATCTTGAAGGACAAGTTGTAAGTTTCTATATGATGTCATTGTAGACTGTATGAAATTTTAAATTATATCTGTATTTTGTGTCTCAAATCTTATGATTTAGTTCGAATTTGGCATAATAGGGTTGCACTCTTTTTTAAATTAACATTCTTTCCGGTTAAAACGTCAAATATCATAGGGAAAATATATAATCGTTTATCTTTTATATTTCTTGCTTTAATCAATTGATAACATGGTGAGTGACTTTGAGTTACTTTTTTGTACTCAATTGTCCTTGATGCCGTCTCTCACTATTTAGAACTTGACTAAAATGGGTGGTGCCTATTCAGCTCCCGGTGGAGTAGGTAGTAACGGTGGTCAGCCCCCTGCTGGACCTGGTCGATTCCTCGACTCAAGAACCAACAATGCTAGCGGTGCGCAAGGAGGTCATTCCCTTCTTGATCAAAACTCATTTTCATGGCTCAATCAGCTTCGCAGTGGACAATTGCCTTCTGCCAGTGGTAATCAAATCGGAAGTCCTCAATTGAGAGGCCCTCAACCTCCTCAGTTGTCACAACAACAGTCTCAACAGCTATCTCAGTCTGGCTCGCAGCCTAGTATCGAAGAAATCATCGCTAATATTTCTCGAACGAACCCCAATTTTCTCTACTCTTGTAAGGTTCTTTATGGTTTGTTTGTTACATTAACGTTTTTATTATTCGTCATTGTTTCCATTTTTTTGATGTCTAAACTTTATATATTCTGTTGTTAACTACCTAATGTAGCCACTATCCTGAATGCAATTTTTATCCAATTCATGCTGATTTCTCTTTGTTTAAATTACGTCATGTTAATCTGATATTTATTTGCCTTGCTTCGGTTTAGTAAAAGAAATCAATTGTGACTTAAAATGAAGCAAGTCTAATAAGCTTGAATGTTTTTTTTTACTTTCAAATAATTTTCTCTCCTTTTATGATCTCCAGAGACTTAGTTTTATCTGTCATGCCTTTTTAATGTAAATTTCTCCTTATTTATTTATTTTTATCTAACTTCCTCGTCAATGGTGTAATGAAGCAATTCCTTTATTTCCTCAAGGTGCCTTTTGTTTACGTTTCTCTTCTAATGGTCCTGAAGCGTTCATTTGGAGTGGATCAGTTTCGTTCATTACTCCTTGAAGTCATAGCAATAGCCTATTCCAAGATCAGTGGTACAGCTACGTTTTCTAACTTGAATTCTTGTTCTTTCCTATTGATTGGACTTATTTTCTTTGACTTAATTCAATCATGAAATGGAAATGTGATTGGATTTATCCCTGAGTTGATTCTTTCTTAACCACTGTAGCATCACGACGGCTTTGAATGCAGAGGTTGTGATTAAATCAGCGTAATTTTAGTTAAGTCCTTTAATGTATTTGCCGATAAAAGATGACAAATCATTCACAAATAAGTTCAAATTGCGTGCTTTTGTTGTATAAGAGGTCAATAGCAGTTAGGTTGGGAATGGTTTCATAATAAAGTAATGGTCTAGTTCATGACATTGCATAGACCGCTAATGAAAATGTCTGAAATATCGTCATCGATTAAAATTCAATTGGAACAGAGTAGTTTCATTTTTTTTTCAATTGTATTCTGAAATATTTTCTCTTAATAAAGGTTAAACGCACTCGAATGCTCCACGCGCAAGTCGATTTGTCCAGCTATTTACAAGACTTTTCTACTTTTATTTCTTCACTGTGCTTCACCCACGCTTAGCAAATGCCTTCACTGGCACAGACTACTTTTGTTGCATTCTTTATTGGCCATTCTTTATCAGTGCAGTTCACCGTTCCACTTGACACTCACCTCTGACTTCTGATGCGCCAAGTGCGCAGTATACAATGCTCCATCATATTCCAGACGTACCTATATAATTCTCAAATTCCAGTGTAATAATTATCTTTAACATGAATATTTGACTTGCAAAAGGCATTTTCAGGTCTCTGTAACTGAGAGATGGGATTTGGACAATCTTATACAGAGCATTACTTTCTGTATTTCTGGTTATCTTTGAGCATTCCGCTTCCTTTTCATTAATCAACTTTAATAAACATCCAGACCATTTTAAGAAAGCGTCTTTCTCCACTCACCTCAGAGCTTCTCTTAGGCCAAATTCGGTTTCTATAACTCCTCTTGCTTCTCATCATTTCATCAGTCTCTGATTTAGTAGACTGTCTTTGGGAATGTTGTTACTGACACCATCAGCCATGCATTTAATGTCACAGTGTTAGTAATCCCTGCATTACAATAACAGAATAGTGGTCATTTAATATCATTTTTAGTGGATCAACTTTTGGAGAGTTATCGAAATCAACCTCAACAGCAGCAACAGTCCCAACAATCTCAGCAGCACTACCAGTCTCAACTGTTGGCTGCTGCTCAAATCTCTCAAGCAGCAGCGGCGGCCTCTCGGCCTCGTTCGCCTGTCCTAGTTCATCATCAACAGTCCCCTCAAGCAACTGGAGTCTCTCGACCCTCCAGTGGTTCCCTGGGTGGTCTTGCTGGCCAATCAGCTTCAGGTAATGCTTGTGTACTCTTAGTATTTATCAAATAGGGAATGACGAACTTTATTTACCGTATACTTTATGGACATCTTTTAAGCTTCTCAGAAACTCGTTTTTGGGTTCGGTTTAAATTTACCATGCGAATGTTTTCCTTCTGGCCCACTTACTTCATACTCAGGGATTCATTCAGTTGATTAATTCAATTTAAAAATACCTTTTATCTTCATTAATTGTTTCCAGTAGTTCTGTACTAGTTTTCTTTACTTCCCTCCAATTCTTTTTCCTTTAAATGTCCATTACATGTCATACTTCGGCAAGACATGTTTCTTATGTGACGAATTAAAGTAATAGCCAAATATAGCTATTTCCTAATCAAGTCCAACTATTAACAAAATTAATTCAAAAGTACTTATTGGACTGATGGTTTCTTTTTTTATTACTCAGATTTAAGAAGGATATGATTTGCGTATTTTGTTAAGCTGTGACAGACAATCTTGCTTCAAAGACTCAATTTTCATACATTTTGGCTGGAAGTAATTTGGGTCTGGAAAGTGGGTTTAGTCATTTTAGGTCTTACACCCACCATTGGTAATTCATATTGCTATGCTTTGGCTAATGAACTCACATAATCATATTCAATTCCTTACCTTTTTCATTTTTCTCTATTCAGGTCGACCGGGTTCCGCCACATCAATTCCTTACAACCAGAGTCGGGGTAATAGTGCAGGCGGAGGAGTGAAATACAGCCAATCATCAACTGGACAACTCTCCGAACAACTAGCCGCTGCGGCGGCTGCAGCAGCTGCTGCTGGAGCTTATTCCCATTTATCCTCATCTTCTAATTCTTCCGGTTCTTCCCTTCGACAGCCTCCTTCATCCTCGGTATATAATGCTATTCCTAGCAATACGACCACTGCCACCGCTGCTCAGTTGCAGCAAGCATATGCTGCTTTGGGAGCTCTAGGGTCTGCTGCGGGTTATGGTGAAAGCCTTCAGGATTTGGTAAATTTTATGCTAATTTAAATGTAATATAATAATTTAATTTGTTGGCTCACAATAGGAGCCAACACACGTTGGTGTACATTATGGACAAGAATTCGTTTTGCAGTCCAGTTGAAGAATCGTGAAATTTGAATATTATCACACAGGTTCTGAGATTGAATAAAACAAAGCCCTTATTATAATCGTCAAGCCTTTTTTTGATTCCCACTCCCACTCGGTTATAGGACTTACTGTTGATTAGTCTCAATCGGTTTCTCAGTAAAAATTATACATTACTGCTGACATCGAAACCCCTATTTGTAATTAAAGAGATGTTTGCCACAGTAGTATGAGTGGAACTGTAGCGATTAAACTGCTACAGGAATATAGTGGATATCTTTAAGGTTTATTTGTCTGTTCTCTGTAACGAGAACTTTTTCGTGAGCATGAGGCTTATCGATACGCTTCTAGTGGTCATTTTTGCATTGTAAGATTTATTTAACACTGTTGGTTTATTTGGAATTCTAGCTTCTATCACTGTAATCGAGGAGTTTATGAGATATCGCTGGCCTACAGTGGCTTCAGTCTTCACAGTACGCAGGCTTTTACTTTCATCAGTTTTAGAGCGTCACTTTAATTCAAACTTCTCCTCTGCTTAGACTCGAGGTGCTCAGTCAGGTGCAGGAATGCCACCCCCTAAACGAATGCGTTTGGTTTCCTCATCGGGCTCTTCTGGAGTCCCCCCAACATCAGTTACCCCTTCCTCGTCTTCTCCTTTTCACCTTCAACAACAACAACAACAGCTGCAGCAACAATCTTCCACCACTGCCGCGTCTCGCCAACAAGCCCAAGCTGCCGCTCAGGAGATGTTGAACAGACAGCTCCTGCAGACATCGGCTAACAATCGAAATGCAATCATTGCTTTCCTTTCGAATGCCGCTGCTCAGCAACAGGTCCAAGCTCAGGCCCAGCAACAAGCGCAACAAGTTGCCTCTACAGTAGCTGCTGCTGCTGCTGCTCAAAGTGGAAGATCTTCGGTCTCATCGAGTTTCTACCAGGGAGTAGGAGGGGGTGGATCAGATGGCTATGGACAGAGAGGAGGTGCTGGTGGTGTTCAGAGGCAGCCTGGAGTGAGTTATAGTCTTATAAAATATTAGCGCACCTGTTAATGTTCTCGTCTTCAATTTCAAAAGTTTTTATGCCTATTTTTTTGCATCCAGTCATATTAATAACATTCATATTGTCCTAACTACCCAAAACAACTGTTTGAAAACGCTTTTCTATGTGTTCTTGGTATTATGGTCTTTATTTAGTTGATTTTAGTGGCCCATATCCTAAGAGTTTAGTCGGAGAAAGTGGTAGTGAAGAAGCTTGTTTGAATTGTGGAACGAATAATTAAAGGCTAGATGAGTATACTTTAGAAAAACAATCGAAAAGGTAAATAGTATGAAATGTGGATACTAATCGAAGGTGGCGGTTGGGTCTATCTTGAGGAACTGGACGAAATAGGGATGGTAGGCTTCTAAATAGAAGCTGCTATAAGTTAACTACTCGTTGTTCATACCCAGAGAAGGAAAAGAGTGTGGAGTACGCGCGTTTTCTAATTCTTAGGCCTGTTCGGTCTGAGCGTTTCGCTCTCTGCACTGTCATTTGGTCATTCATAAACAAAGGACGTAAAATAGCCCGTTACCTGCACCTTAGAGTATCCAATACGTTAGCTCTGATCTCGATAGAGTCGGTAATTCCGGGCGGCCGGAAGATTACGCGGTCTTTATTCATTATTGAACGTTTGTCTGTCATCGAGGCGTCATAAGTCAGTATGCGGGTAATAAATAAAGTGAATGACCCTATCCATGAGCCAGCATGCGCAAGTACTACATTAGAAGGCTAGTTGTTTAAAAATTATACAAATAAATAAATAAATATTAACTATACAAACATTACAAACACTAAACGAATAATCCACTGCTTATGGCACAATTTACTCCCTGAATTTTCGTTTCAGTCATCCTAGTTTCTTCTTAGTGTATTTTTGTGGAATTAATCCCTATATCGAATTATTCATCTTAATTATTTTTCTGCAAATAGCTTCATGCTATTAATAGAAACTAACTAAACGAATTTCAAGGTTGTGCCATTATTTGTTCGAGTGAAAATTTAATGGTCTTTTAATCTAAAAATAATAGTTGGGTGTATAATCGTGTCTAAATCTAAATTCTTCACAAGTCTCTAGATGCCAAACTTTCTCTAGTACATGTTTTTTACGTAGACTTTAATTCTGCTTGAAAATGTGTTCAAATACAGGGGTAAGTATGCATTAGCTGCATATTTAATGAGAAAACCTAATTTTCTTCTCAATTGTTGCTCTTGTGTTTTGGTTGAAATATGCCACTTTTAAAATACTTACCTTTTAGTTTTGTTGCTGTTTGTCCTTTTTTTTAATCATCAACTATCCTTGTGAATGAACGATCAAGTTATCACTTCTTATTGCCTTCTTGCTTTTCCATAGTATAAAGCTGGTAGTCGTAAAACGTGAAATAACTAAATGTCCGTTTCAGCCAAAGTTTGAAGTCCTAAAAAATAAGAGCGCCGTTATTTAAATGCTAAATTAGCAATTTTGATGACCCTTCAATTCCAACGGCAAGGTAAATATCTCTTTTTGATTTTGATACCATTACTTTGTTCTGTCAGTCTTACTCCTATTTATGTTGAGTTCGTCCGTGTAGTTCTCTCGAGTTTTGTCAAAAGTCAAGTTGTTGTTTCCGCGTTCACAATGTCTTGTAGCATGGTAAGCCTCCATTGGGACACTACAGCCTCGCCATGATTGACTTCCCATTTCATCAAATACAGGGTGCCCCAAAAAATTTAAACACATTGAAACTGATTATAACCGTGATGTTCAATTAGAATTTTATTATTTCAAAAGCGTGCAAATATTTTGCAAGTATAATTTTATTGATTCCCATTGCTTGTTCTCAAACTGATGTCCATTTTGATCCAGACACTGTTGGGGCAACGCCAAGCAGTGGAATCGCACACATCATGGAATAATTCCCTTGAGATTTGGACGCATCCATACTCAATGGTTTCTCTTAATTCAGTGACTGTTGAAGGTTTTTTTAACGTAGACTTTGTCTTTTAAGTATTCCCAAAAGAAAAAAACTATTTTAGTGTGAGGTCTGGTGAACAGGGAGGATATTCAACAAAACCTCTTCGTCCACTTCACCTGTTTGACAAGACCTCATCAAGGAAAGACCTAACGTCGTGATGGTAATGGTAATGCTGAAAATAAAGCTCTTCATTTTAAAAGTCTTCTCTAATGCTTGTTATAAACAGACTGCTGCAGAAAGTTCAAGAAAATGGGACCGGTTGCATTACAATTATTTCAAGTTTGTATACATTTTTTGGGGTACTCTGTAGATATTTTGCCTATCAGTTTCTCATAATTGGCATTATGTAGAAAGATATGGTTTGGTAACGGCACACCCCCTCGAGGAAATCAATTTCACGACTTTAAATTTTGTAATTCTCTGGCCCTTCTTTTCGCGAAATATATGTTTACCAGACAGTAATTAGGAAGGGAATCAAACCCACTCTTGATATTTGTTGGGTCTAATATGAACTTAATACGTCTGGATTTAAAACAGGTCATTTCTGCCACGTTTTTTTCATTGAATGAAAGGTTCTGTTAACTCTCTTAACTGGTCATTTCTTGTTTTCTTATTTTAGTCAAATCTACTCGTCTCGTCACCGAGCCAATCATCTGCTTCATCTTCAGCTGCTGCAGCATCAGCAGTCTCCGCCTATAACAACTTTGCAGCTCTTGCAGCCGCTGCTCAGCAGCAGCAGCAGCAGAGATATCCCCATCCATCTCTCTCTTCCTCCTCCTCTAGTGTACCCTGTTCGACTCCTCGCACTGGAGGTGGCTATAGGGTACCTAGTCAGCAGTCTACTCAGCCTCAACAAAGTGGCGGGATTTACCATGGTACTGGTGGACATGCTATGCCATCGGGAGGAGCTGGAAGTAATGTCCTGAGACAACAGACTAAGGAACCTGCCTATCACCCACAGGTTAGTATCATGTAATTTTTTGCTAGATATTGTGGTATATTAAGCCAGAAATTTGATTTCTGTCTATTCTAGCACAGCACAGTGGTGAGCAGGGCTTATTGGGAAGAAGCAGAAGCCACATAGGAGAAATGGGGTGTTGTATTTTGGTGTTCCGTTGAGGTTTGTTTTTCAGTTCAGTGAAAAGAGTTATGACTTATGACGATATATCTACTGAGTCAAACCGCCTCACGTTTTTCTACTATGCGTGGTCTATATTTAAGAAGCGGTACCAGCCGCTATAGACAAAAAATGGCCATTTATAGAAGCTTCACTTGAGATAAGTGGCAGATAAGTTACACTGAAGTAACAAATAATTTCGTTTGAACAAGTAGTAAGGCAGTGTATAGATGGTCTTCACTTACGGCATTTCAATTTTGGTTGATACATTTTAAAGGTAGGCCAACAATAGGAGTAGGAGCATGTCAATAGGATAGGGGATCAAGTGAAAACTTAATGACAATAGAGAAGAGAGTGGAGTTATTGAAAGTAGCTAACGCAATACATATGTAAGGCTCATGACCTAAAAATAGTTTTTAACGAATATTTCGTGTACAGAGTAGTGTAGAATGAAAGAGCATAAAGATTTATAAGAGTGAGTTGGCCTGAAAGGCGGACTCTGAAATACTTAATAGTTTAAGAGAGAATATGTCAGGTCAATTACTCTCACCTGTTCACTGCATATCTGCGTTGAGTTGCGTACCAGTACTTGTTTCCGTGTTTGCTTATGAGTTTTCCTGCTTAATAAACTTCTAATTCTTCTGTATCAACGTGCTTGGTGGCATACGGTATAAATCGATCAAATGGAATAAGAATCGGGGATTAGAGGAGAGAACTGGTCTTCGGGATATCTGGTAAAGGGCGGGGTTGCTTGAGCGGATTACAACGATGACATTTTCATTTCTACCAATTATGACTTGTCTAATTTTGAGCATTGAAGCAATATCTTTACCTAGAATGAATTCTTTAACTGTCATGATTCTTTAAGTAATCTCTGCCACCCCCTATCTTTTTTAATGTTATTATTTTTCCGTTATATTTTACTAAGCTAATATGGTCTATAATCGTCCACTTGAAAACTTCATAAATCGAGTCACTATGGAGGGCTAATGAGCTTGATAAACAATTTCTCTAAGAAAAGCTCTGATCTGGTCTTACATCTTGGTTTCTAAGTTTCCTCTTTTCATTTTTCCAGGTGGAAGCTATATCTCCAGCTCCTGAAGAAGCCCGTTTGTTGGATGTGGTAGAAGTAAAACTACAGCGAGAACGTGAGGAGATGCAACGTCGATTGCACGATATCGAGGCACGTATCAATAAAGAGGAGAGTCATCTCCGTTATCTCATCGATCGCGAGTCGAGTCTCACTGCTGATCTCAAAAATGAGACTGCTAATCAGCCCCCATCTGGAATTCCGCATAGAAGTAAGGCTTCGCTGAGTGATCTGGAGGATGAAAGAGCTTACGAAAATTCAATTCAGGTAAACTTCTACTTCTACATCATTTGAGTACCATACACACTTCCAAACTTATTGTTTTCTTCCCACAGGCTCTTCTATCTGAAACTCGTTCTCGTGCAAAGAGACAACATGAAGGTCTGGCTGGATTGTGTGGCAAATACGTGAACGCCTCACCCTGTGCTCTACCAATTTATAGGCAACCATCTGACTTGCCTGCTTTACAACATCTCCAATCGGTGTATAAGAATGGCTTTCGAATACAGCTCATCAAGTACATTCATCGTCGTAAACGGGCTGAAAAAGCTAGGCTACGGATCTTGGCTAGACAATATGCTCGTGATGCTCAGGTGCGTTATACTTTATCCATGCCTTGTTTGTCCTTAAATTCAAATTTGCCATTTTTATGGTTATTCTCTAGCATTCGATATATGCCGGTAATATAATGGGATATATATTAGGTTGGCAACTAAGTCATTGCTGATTTCAAACAAGAAGGCAAATTCGGAATTTTTGTTTAAAAATATAACTTTATTCAATTAGATATTGGCCGTTCTTGTCGATGACCTTTTTCCATCGTTCTGGCAGAGTACAAATTCCCCCTTCGTAAAATGTCTGGTTTTTGCTATTAAAAAACTGAATTAGGTGTGATCTGACATCATCCGCGTTGTTACAAAGTTTACCATTTAAAGAGTTTTGCATGGAACGAAACAAATGGTTATCCGAAGGCGCAAGCTCAGGGCTATATGGTGGGTGTGACAAAACATCCCAACCCAGTTCCAATAATTTTTGCCGAGTAACCAAAGATGTGTGGGGGGGGGGCTTGCGTTATCATGATGGAAAGCAACACCCTTCCGATTTGATAATGCCGGCCGCTTATCTTCGATTGCATCCTTCAGTTTTTCGAGTTGTTCAACATACACATTTGAATTTATCGTTTGGTTCTGCGGCATGAGTTCAAAATACAAAATTCCTTTGTGATCCCACCAGACTACTGACAGCATAATCTTTTTTTGGTGAATCTCTGCTTTTCATACTGTTTGGGCTGGTTGATCTTGCTTCACCCATGGTCTCTTGCGAGTAACATTGTTATAAACTATCCACTTCTCGTCGCCAGTAACTAGGTTCTTCCTCGGAAATGGATCATTCTCATTGCGTTTCAGTAGCGGCGAATCACAGATGCTAATCCGTTGCGTCAAATGAATTTCCTTTAACTGGTGAGGGATCCATAAATCAAGTTTCTTGACATAACCAAGGGTTTTTAATTTTTTTTTTCAATGCATGTATGCGACACATTGAACTTCTCTGCAATATCTCGTGTTGTGCTGTGACGATTTGAATCGATAATGGCCTTGATATGGGTTTCATCCACTTCGACTGGGCGGCCAGATCGTTGTGAATTTTTCAGTGAAAAATCACCGGAACGAAATCATTCAAACCAATTTCGACACTGCCTTTCTTTTAAGGCTTCATCTCCATATACAGCACATAACTTCTTTTGTGCTTGCGATGCGTTCTTGCCTTTTCGGAAGTAATACAGTAAAATGTGTCGGAAGTGCACGTCCTGTTCTTTCATTTTTAAATTGGGATAAAAACAAAACTAAAGAACTAAACAAAAAAAATTTTTACTAATTAACCTAGAAGCCCATACAGTAAGAAAAAAATATAGGTTAGATGCTCTGGCCACGTTAACAAAACAAAAGAAAGTATAAAGTGAATCCGTCAACAAAACGGCAATGACTTAGTTGCCAACCCAATAATTCTGGCGTGCTTCTTTAAGTTACAATAAACCTGTTCCAAAGTTCAGTTATTTATAATCTTGTGTCTCACATTGGTTCTTGTCGCTCTAAGGAAAACGAGCAGTATAACGTAATTTACGTTAGTCCAAAAAATGATATAACGGTTAATCATGATTTCAAAAATGATGGAAAACAAGTATTAAATAGATATAAATTTTCTCAAGGAAGAATACTTTAGCTTGCCACGTAGAAAGGAGGCAATTTGCTCCGTTCTTTACAAATTGTGTATATAAGGTTTCTCACAGCGAGTAGACTTCATTCCCACCTTTGAGCATGCAAAGGCAGTAATCGAAAAATCTTGGGTCTAAGGAAAGAAACTTTGCATGAAACTTTGTCTAAGCAAATGAATCAAGACTTCAGAAGGTCTGGTATGGCAAAATTTTCGGAATCCTTGAAGACAAGAGTGGTTGTTGCTTTCCTCCTTAAAATTGACATAAAATTTGATGGGAGTACTTCGAAAAGCCTCCAGCAAAGCATTCCATCGACCAAATTTTCCTGCACTTTCCTTCTTTTTCTCTACTGCTACAGCCTTTTATCTACTATTTATTAAAGAAGCTTTTATACTACTATAAGTGCCGAAATATGTAAATTTGCTCACATAAATTGTAACCGTTCTCCATAAGACAGTGAAAACATTCCATATAACCTCATATCAGCATTAATGTTATTATTACATATAAAATATATTATTATATATATAAATATTCAGACAAATAATAAGAGTGGAATCAGAATAGGTACGCAGGTATTCAGAAGTTTAAATTTTATTTCTCTTTCACTTTATTGAAACAACTATTTTTTCTGCTATTTTCAATGCTTATCGAACGTTTTTTTCCAAATTGCTTCGGTTTTGCCCTTTCAATTCGGGTTTTCAAAGTATCATCTTTATATCAGGTACCTCTTTAAATCTTATTCTCCTAGCGCATCCAATTGAAGAACTAGTCCTTTGAATAACCCGATCATTTCTCATAGAAGTATTTTGTTGTAATTGTTTAAAACATTTAAGTAGCAAGTTTTTTGTAAACTTTCCCAGCCGTTTTACGCTTTGAGTTTGTTTAAAGCTGTCTCACACTCGCTGTTTGTTTCTTAAGGCTTTCTTTAAGCGTCACGAGAAGCTGATGAACAGCGCCAAACGCAAGCAAAAAGACGCCAAGAACCGTGAAATTTTCGAGAAGTGCTTCCCGGAGATTAAAAAAATTCGCGAGGACCAGAAGGAGAAGGATGGCAATGGTGGAAAAGGTGATGACGGCCATGGTACGTCGTCTCTTTCTTCACTTAAATCGAAATATCGATTTGTAATATTTATACTTTTTTATCGATAGGAAGAAAAAAGGGTTTGTTTGTGCTCTTGATTGTAAACTTTGTACATTTTGCTGTAGGCATATTCTTGTTGTCTTCTGAATGGCTTAAGCTATCTATTTGCATCTTCAGATTGGTTAAAAAAGAAAAAGTGGTTGAAAGTTTCTTTACAGCTTGGGCAGTGATATTTTGACTAATAAAGGCCTAGGCTGAACCAACAATGGTGAGGCAACATGTTGTAACATACACGCGCTTCTAATCAAACGATTGGTAATTTTTCCTTGTTCTAAAGTCGTATTTTCATTTTTCAAATATACTTAGGTAGGATCAATTTGTCTATATGTCTGATCTTGGTGATTTCTTAGACTGCTGTTCAGTCTTAGTTCCGTTCAGATTAGTCCTTTTTGCCATAATTCATGCAATGATGACTGACTTTAGGTTGTGCCATGTTTGTAATATCGAAAGTAAATTGGCTCTCTTATTCGATACTCTCTTCTACTCAAAAGTAGGTGGTAGCAGAGGAAAGACACGCCCTACTAAGCTGTGTTTTCTGAATTGGGATTTGCCGCTAACTTTTCGAAACATACTGATGAATAAGCATTGATGTTGGAATAGAGTCAGTAATTTGTCGACCGTACAATTATTCCCACAAATACAGAACAGGAAAGTGTATTTACCTGAAAGCTTATCTCTCTCTTTATTTTCATTCGTATTCCTGCACGGGTATATTAATTTTGGTTTGTGCATGTTTTTCTCCGAAAGATGGGACCAAAATTGCTCCCACCTTACCCGGAGACATCTGAGTAATGAAAAAAACTAGAGAGATGCTTTAATAAGTAGAGCCTTGGGGTCCACTTTACAATATTTTCTTTTGTTTAATGTTCTATTTCTTCAAACAAAAAAGATTTAGTTAATTCTGTTGTTATGGCGTTCATATAGATGTTCTTATTTTTTATTAACTCTTCTGATAACCAATTTGTTCTTCGTATCTAATTTAGTTTGTCGTTTAAGGTGAAAAGATTAATTTAAAAGATTTAGAAAATTTACATTGTCTACTAGCTTCGCTCTTTTATTGTTTTTTATATGTTATTAATTATTCCTAAAGACACATTATTATACCAACTATTATTATTCCTTCAATCATATGCTTTTGCTGTAGATACTGTTTCGAATACAGGGTCTGGTGCTGATGGTGACCAGATGTACGATGCTGCTGAGGACATATCTAAAATGAAGGTTCGTCTTCCCTTACCTAATTAATTTTTCTGTGAGAGATATACCTCTTCTCTTTTTTAGGAGTATGCCATCGATCCACCTGTTATATTACCGCCTTGGGAGCGATCCCATCGATTTATCTGCACTGCACACCTTGTAACTGATCCAAAAGGGGATCATATTCGTGCCCAGTCGCTTGAGAAGTGGTCAAAGGATGATAAAGCTCGATTCAAGGAACGTTTCTTGGCTACTCCAAAAAATTTCCCTGCCATAGCTGCTGCAATAGATAAGTCAGTGGCTGAGTGCATTCATTTTTATTACCTCACCAAAAAGACCGAAGGCTATAAGGCGCTGGTGAAAAAGCATAGTACCTCAAGACGCCGACGAGCTGGTCATTCGGATAAAAATGGACCCACAGGGCCCTCACATGGAACTTCGAAGAGAGCTCCTTCAAGAGTTTCCACGCCTGGAGGAGATGATCATAGAAATTCTCCTCATCCTGATTCGAAGCTAGTAATTAAATTGTTTTATAATTTCGCGATTGCTTTCATCATGTGTAGTAAGATGGTAATTGATTGAATATAGTAGCAGTTACTTTTAACTTTGGTAGATGAGTTCTGTGTTGTTCGACTTGGAATTTATTGAGTGGATGGATTTTGTTAGTTCTCACTTATTTTGTGTTCAGGCATAGCGAAGTAAGCAACTCTTTAAATATATTTTCTTAATATTCAAATTGGCCAACATTATTAATGAGCAACAAATTTCATTTAATGGTTAAGTTTAAAAATGCCCTACCCCAATGTAGACGGAGGACACATGAGGAATAGTTTGTTCGCAAGGCCATTAAAGCCATTACTGAAATCTAACAATAGGAATTTAAATGAGGCTCTAGAATCAGGTAGATCTAAAACATTTTTATGACGACGCATTAAAATTCATGGTTGAATCATATTCTCGGATAGGTACTGAAGAATTGTAGTGTTAACTAGCATGTCCATTATCAGCCGTTCAGTGACACTTTAAGTGTGTCAGTTAATTAAATATGCCGGGGTAAAAGGCGCATATCTTTGTTGTCTTTCTTGGACCAACCGTTATTAGGAGAAAACGTCCATTCCTTCCTCTATGTCAAGATAGGACTAATCTTCTCAATTCGAAATGTCAGAGCAAGAACGACTTCCCAAAATTTCGTGGATTTAAGGGAAAGGTTCTATCGCATCCTCCTTATTCACTTGATATCAATCCCCATTATTTTCAGAAGGCTAGTTCACTGCGACTCAAACGAGTACTTTGCTTAAAAGCTGGAGCTATTTTCAAAAATGGGATAAAAATTGTAAGAGCAATAAGAAAGCGTTGCAAAATATGTTCTTCGCATTTTATTTTACAGCTATTTCTCTTTCAATTCGTATTAAGAGTCCTTTAATCATTGTAAGAACACTCGTATACTTTTCTTCATAGAATGAGGATGGACAATCAACCACACATCGGAAGGGTGGTGGTGGCTCTACGCGCGGGAGATCTGGTCGACGTGGTGGTTGTGGCGATCATCGATCAACAAAGGGTTCCGGCCGTGGAAGATCAGGAACTCCTGTTCCCCCTCCTCCTCAACAACTGCAACAACAACAATCACAAAGCTCTTCAACAACAGCTTCCACGGATCAGGGTGAAAATAATCAAACTTCAAGTATTCAACAGGAAAGCTCTAAAGTAACACCTGGTGATGGTGAAATTAAGCACCAAAGTTTGACATCGTCTGCAAAAGTGGATGAAACTAATAAGTCGAGTGGCTCTGGAAATGGAACTACTGATTCAACGATAGTGAGACCTGATGCATCAAGTCAACTTGAGAAGGCAAAGGAAGAGGTATGAACTTTACTTGGTGAATTTGATCATTTGGTGCTAGGTGTTCAGTTCTTCCAATGCTCAACAGTTGGTATCTTCGGGATACTGACTCGTTGCAAATTAGGTCACTGCTCAACCATCTCGTTAGGTCCTATTTGAACATTGAATTGTACTGGATATTTATTAAGTGACAATGAACAACATTTGTTTGTAAAGCTTTCCCTTTTTGTGTTTGCTTTAAACAGCTTGTGACAGCAATTTAATGCATGTAGCTCTTAGCCTTGTTAAATAAAGTCCTTCTCTAGCTTTGAAAGGTGTTTAACTTATTTTGTTCGAGGTAAGTGGTTTTCCCTTCCTCTCGGTTTTCAAAAATGATTTTAAACTTTATTTCAAAATGACTAAGGCTCAGGATGCGTCCACAGTTGCTTCGAACCAAGGGTAAAACAGCACGGATTCCCTTCTTAATATCTGTATAAATATTTAGTTATCGTCTCCAAAATATTCGAAATTAGCTCTCCTCTTCCGTCATAAATTTCCCGTTTCAACTCCTATCTTGTATTTTAATTTAATATACTTCCGTCTCACAAAGCCGTTGGTTGTATCTGTTTATTCATTAAAGATGAAATAATAAGCACTCTGCTGGAATATATTTTCTGATTTGTTCTTAATTTAAATGATGCCATAGCATTGAACAACAAAAACGACAGGCCTGAATGCCCTGCGCGCGCTTCATCACAAAGGAAAAATAATGTTTCTTTAGATGCAGGTCCCTATTCTAGCCAGAAGTGGGCTTTGTGCCAATTATAATTTGCCCTTGAGATTGATAAACTTCACATAGGCTTTGTGCTAACTGAGCGGAATATTTCACTTTTTTACTTCATTGTTGTTGGCGAATAGTGGCGCTATCAATGGTAAAACTGCGAATTCTTTCCTGCTTCATCGAAGGCAGGGAAGCTTCTGAGCCTGTTAAACTTCGACCGTATGAAGATTACTATCAGGAGTTTATCGAACAAAATATTGATAAACCAAGTTTTCAAGTAAGTCGAGTCAGGTTGGGCTCCGATTATTCTTAAAGAAACACGTTGGTTTCCCTTCTTTGGGTAATTCAGACTTCTCAGGAATGCACTTAGCATCTAAATCGATGGGTATTTGCGCTTTTTGTTTTCTTTATGCTCATTTGCTTTCTAAACCACCTCTGAAGTTTTCAAGGATGAATTTCTTTTTCAATCAAATCTTTTCTTTTGTGGTTTGAACTCCTTTGTTATTTTATCATTAATATTTTTTGGCATTTTTGCAACGATGCTCGCGCCATTAACAATTCCATGCAGTGCCTACTTCCTCGACTTTTTCTACTTCCACTTCAATATGTTGGTGGTGGTATTTGCTTTTGTTCTATGCCCTTCCGTAGGTAAAGTAATTTTCCGTTCGCACATCACTCTACCCGGACAAGCAGATGCATAAATGCATAGTCGAGGTTATATAGTTTGGAAAAATGAAAAGAAGCCGCGGCTTTCTTGATTTTTGCGTTTTTTTCTTGCTTTAGAAGAAATATCTATCTCTGCTCTGTCAAAAAGTATATTCAAGTGTCTTAAGTAATTGGTCATTCAAACGTTTGTTTTTTATTTGTGATGTTGCACAGTGTATTCAATACAATCTAATTGGGTTGTTTTCACTGGTTGCTGCAAATTTTACGGCATTTACACTAGAATGTGTGACTTTTCGTTAGGAGTTTAAATCTCGTATTTTTAATTACAATTTCGTTGTTGGGAATGGGTTCCAAACACATATCCGTTCTACCCCTTCTCTTTTGATAATTATGGGCTGGTTCTGATGTTCATTGAATGTGTGAGAATCTCAAGGATTCTAATATTTCTGACCGCTTTGCTACTGGCAAACTTCTGCCCAATTAAATGACTCATTGACAAAATCAGTTGTTCTTCATAGTGTCATCATTTTTGCAGTATATCTTCTATCAACTATCAATAGTTGGTTTGTACGCACGACGCCTTCGAAAAGTCACTTAAAGCTGATTGGTTTTATTACTTTATTGAAATTTCGCCTCTTATAAACAATGCGATTTCGTGATTTCCTCCTCAGACTACTCAGACGCCATCCTCATCGGCGGAGCCTCGTGGAGTTTTCACAGCCTCGCCTCATCCCCCCAGTAGTACGGCGACCAATGACACTAACCTGTCACAATGCTCCAGTTTAGTTACCTTTTCACCATATCCTCGTCTCGATGATTCCGCTATCAGTCGTCCGGGATTCTCAGAAGCTGGCACCACCAGTTCTGGTATCCTTCCCCCAAAAGGTATACAAATTGATCATTTATTTTCTATGAAAGTATCTGTAGTAAAATGTCCTCTGTGTCAAATGGTAAAGATTCTTAAAGTCCTAGTAAATGGGCAACTAAAATTTCAGTAGTTTTGTTGAAGATCAGGGTTTATTGAGTGTTCAAACAGAATGAATTTGGATGGAAGGCAAAATGGGGGGGGGGGGTAATAAGCTGAAAGGAACATATGCGCCGGGTTGAATCGGGTGTCTATGCCCATTATTTGCTTGCTGATTAGGCTATATAACTCATATTCATTTACAAGTTTAGGGATGAAAGAAGAGTGTCAGCATATTTGTGCTTATGTAATATTCTCTAAATGTCTCATTTAACGCTACACAAACCTTAATTAGCTCAAATGAAAACTAGATCAAGAAAAGCAAAATATATTTCGGACAAATGGAATTAATGAGAGATAATAGGTTGAGCAAAGGTCGTGTCAACTTATTTACCCTACATACTTATTTTGAATCCAAGCTTGGGAATAATTAGAAACGTATCGAAAATGTTCTAAGCTACGCCACAAATAAGCTAGAAGGTAGACTGAAACTAACATGAATTCATGAAAAGTGAGTACACAAGCAGGTGGGTAAACCATAAAATGGGGAGATGGAGACGTTTAGCGAAAATATTTACTTAACTAGTTGGGAAATGGGCTAAAAGTCCAAGTATATCGAGAACTAATTGTTAGTTAGCTGGAGTTGATCTAAATGGAAGTCGTCCACGTTTGCGTTCACGCATAATCAATGTCAAACATATCTCCCATAGTAGAGTGTTCATATTTTCTGCGGACCTTCCATTTTCCATACAAGGCTCTTTTCTGTTTCTGATTTTAGCTTTGAGTAATGATTTTCATTAGAAGTTTTATTATTACATTTAATAATTGCCCATTTTTATAGACCCGAGCTCTGCTAACGTACTGCCCGCAGGTTTATCGGAGCAGCTTTCCAGTCTCACCAAAACCGGTGCAATATCGGCTGAGCTTCTTGCTAGCATTCCACAATTCGCTTCCAGTCCTTCTACTCAAGCTCTAGCGCAGGTTCTCTCTCAGGCTCAGCTGCATCAGCAGACAAAGGCTGTTAGTCATGATCAACCCACCGATCCAACAGCGGCTGCTTACAGCAAAGCTATTCTAATTGGTGACTTCTGCACCGCTCAACAACTATCTAGGGGAAGTACGCCTTCTCAACAAACACCTTTGCCAACCACTGCTAATATGACTGGAACCAGTTTACATCGAGCTGGTAGGAATGTATTCTAATTTTTTTTTAAATCAATTCTTTATAAAAAATATGACTAATTGTAAAGTAAAGCTTTTAATGATACAATTACTATAGGTGGGAGAGTTAAAAAATCAGGGCATAAGTCCTGAGGATTGGTAGTTTCTATAATGCTCGCGATGCGGTGTATACTTCCTTCTCTTTGGAAATTTCTTTGATTAAGACTTTTGAGAACTTTCGGGTGAAAATTGCATCATATGTTCGTTTTCTTTAAGAATATTAAGTTTTATAATTAGGCATTTTTAAACCCCTTTTTTCAGTAATATATGCTGGCACAATGTATTTCCACGTTAAAACCCTCAACATAGTTTCGCTGGGTTCGAGAGAGATTGTTAGGCTAGAGATCTCGTTTCCGCTTTTATTTGATTGCATTGCCGATGTGTGGAGTAGCTATTACAGATTTATAAATTTGGTGTTCGGCTTGTCCCGATTATAATTGGCCGATGAAGATTGAGCCAATCATTGGAATTGACAGATTACGATAATTTAGAGAGGGACCAATCGTTGAATATCGGTTGACCTCGTTATCCCCTGTTTTCCCTTAGTAATGGCCTAAAAGTGGCATAGTGGTAAAGGAATACGTTCTCCTAAGCATTTTAATTGATAAAGCGGGGCAAAGTATTTGACCCCTCATCATGGGAGTTCCATAAAGAGTTATCTAAATAATCTATGAAGTTAGTATTATTCATTTTAGTTACCGGATTTTATGTTACTTTTCCATTAATGCGGTGTTTTTTGCTTTTATTGCTGAAATCTCATATCATTTCTAAAACTGCCGTAACAAGTTTAATTTTACCATATACCTAATATTTATTACTGCCCCATTAGGCGTTTTAAATCAACGTAATGCTAAATTGCCTTATCTCACAATTTCTCCAGCGGACTATACCGATCCAAATTACTTGAATAACCGAACAATTGATCCTTCAAGCCTTCCTATGCCAACGAAACGCGTGAACCTGGGTGGCTCTACTCCGAGCAGCGGTTCACGCAGTGGTCTAGGAGGAGGAAACATGCGTTCCTCACCTGGATCTGGTAGTTTCCATCACCAACAGTCCCTTCCACCACCTCCATCTTCGATGCCCCGGTATCGGCCTATGCCGAGTCAACCCGGTTCGACTAGTAAGTTAATCTCTTCTCCACTTCTACTTATCTATTTTCACTTACCCATCCATAGCTACTACTAAATTCAGACATTCAATACTGAATTTTGCTCTTCTAAATAGCCAAACTGGCTATTTTTTTACCCACTGCACTAACTTATATCCTTCCAACTTTTTTGTTTCCATAGCATTTGACGGGTAAGTATTAACCTAGCTTTTTCGTTGATTTCTCTTGTTCAGATAGATCGTAGTTTTGTTGTTTAATTTATCAGTGGATAAGCTGGTCAAACTAACGGTACTACTCAGTCTTTCAAATAAATCTGATTACTGAAGTTATCCAGGTTTATTTCCGTCAAAAAATCGATCTGCATTAGTTTCTTCAAACATCCAGGCTGTTTTTTTACCACCAATTATTACTGGAGTTTCTGACAGTATTAATGCTAGTGCAGATGAACTTAGGTGTGTCTAAATAAATCAGTATTTTATATTGCCATTAAACCTATTTCTCCCTTCTTTAAGATATCGATGGACCTAGACAACCACCCAGTAGGCCCCTCTCAGGTTTATCTCAAGGTGGAGGTATCTATGGCCCACAGCCGGGGGTATATGGAGGTGGGGATACACTGATCGCTACGAAACCAGCAGGTTACTACGATCTGACAAATATTAATCCGCCAACCAAGGTAAATGGTTCACTTTGTAAATCATGTTCTATTTTGACACATGAACATCTCTCTACTCACCCGATTTTGTGATGAAAATTGTTAATAGTGTCTGTGAGGAATGTGTATGATTACGCACTAAACTTCCTTGATTTTTTCGTTGTGAAATAATGAACTATTTTTTCACCTTTTGTGATGATGTTCTGTTTGACGGCTGTTTTACACCATGCCAGTTGCAGATAGTCTATATTTTCTATATGAGCATGATGGAATATACGTTCATATTTCTTTCCGGATAACCAAAGATCATCCTGTTTCCCATCAGTAGTCTTGGTCTTGCTTTGAGAGGTGCTTACGCTAATCAATTTCAATTAGAAAGGCTTACTGTCTGCCATTTTGGTAATGATTGAGATTTGGCATTCAAGTTGTCAAGAACGTGGGTCTGGTGGGGTTGTTTATCCCCATAACTAGGTTCCTCTCAGTGTGTGGATATGTATATCACTCTCACCCGATTTCAAATACTACTTTTTACACTAGGTACTTACTTGGAAGTTCGGGGCTTTCTAATTGAACTCTTGAAGAGCTCTTTTTGAATTCAAATCTTTGTGTTAAGATTGACATCACCCACTAAAAACCCACAAAGTAATTTAAGATCACTCAAACCTCCAAAGTACCTAATCCAAGATAAACATACTTTCGTAATCAGAATGAATTAGGTTAGTTATCTCCTCATAAAAATAATTGTCTTTCTTGGCTTATAGATTACAAAACCAAGAGTTTGTTTTATACGATTGGAAATGAATGAGTGAGGAAGGAGGGAGGGAGGGAGGGAGGGAAGGGGTAGAAAGAGGGATTGGGAAAAAGAGTAAGTTGTCAGTGCTGAAGGAGGCAAAAGGGGATTTGTGGGTCAGACAAAAAGAGACACAGCGGGGCAGTTGATTGATTTCGCGTTCTTTATTCGTTGCTGAATAATTAACACTTGATGCAAACTTGAGTCAGTAGACGATCACTAAAATGGTTAGGCATTATCACGAGTCAGTCCGCAGGTGTTGCATCTTCCTCAGGAAAACAATTGATTTTTTTATTTAAAGAATTCAGGGAATTAAAGTGAACTTGTGCATACTCAAACTTTTCAGAATGGTAAAAAGGTGCTAATAGATTTTTGGAAACACTTGACTTGTTCTTTTCTAGTATTTACTATTTTTTTAAAAATGGGTTAGGTCTTTTAGTTACCTTTGCTGGGAGAGAATTACCGTTTTCTTGCTATTTCTTCAAGTTTGAATCTTCATTTCAGGAAGTCCGCACAATTGAATTTTCGGAATTTTCACGCAAATAGCTTGAATTTTCGTGAAAAATCATTATTTTCTAAGCTTTTGTTTAATCGAATGTAAAATAACAAAGCCAACAGGTGTCATGTGCTTGCCTTTGAGTACAAAATTATATGAAGGTCCCAAGAGGCCCATTTTTGACATATCGTAACTTTTTTTATTATCTTGTCGTTATAACCGAAAGGGAAAATTACGGTAGAGTTTAGCGTGTTTAGAATTGGTGTGTCTGGATATCACAGAATGAAATCCGATTTACAATAACCTTTTCTTTTCCAAGAAGGGCTCAATAAATCTTGAATCCGGACTCGGTGCCACCCCAAGTGGGAGACCAGGTCTCGATCCCAAAGTAGAAGAGTACATTGTGCACGCCGCCAAGCTCTACCATGACGAGGTGGAACGCTACACCTCCCGAGATCGATCAGACTCCATGCGAACTCGCACCAGCAGTGAGACTTCCCAACAGATGCAGGCTGCGCTGGACAATGCACGACAACGCGTGCTGAGAATGGCTGTCGCGGCAGCTGCTGCAAATGATAGCGCCACAAATTCATCATCCACATCGGCGGTAGCAGGATATAACATTCCCTCAAGCTTCGCTGACTCCCAGTTGCCAAATGAACAGTTGGGCGGTGTTGGAGTTATGGATATCAATGAAATACTTGTAATTTGACTTTTCCTTCTGATTAGAAGTAATTTACCGAATCCTAGATAGTCATACTTTTGGAATATAAGTTTTGTTAACACTTTGTCTGAACTGTGGGAAGGTATTTTTGAAATTGGTGTAATTAGTGCTTGCTTCTGCTACTTAGCTTGCCTAGAATTAACCCGTCTGTTTGAACGTTCATATTATTTAATGTTGATAGATTGTGTGACCTCTTGTTTCATCGCGTTCTTTCGATCACTTTAAAGCTATCGTTCTGAGCACTATTTCTCACATTCAAGGCTCAATAGTTAGTCATATATATCTCCTCTGTTCCAATGGTCACTGTCTACTGAATTTATAAGCATGTATCTAATCTCTCTGATCTTTCATTTCAAAATATACTTCGATCACATGCTGACTCGTATTATCTGTTCTGTCATTATTCTGGCTAATAATATGATGATAGTTCGAATGTAGGCCCAGTGGTGTGAGGAGTGCACACAAATTAGGAGGACGGTAACCACTCCTTATATCAGGCGATATGTTCGTCTTCGTGGCTCTAGCCCAAAGTAAGGGATTGTAGTCATTTTTACTTTCGTCTTATATTACTTTATCTCTACGATATTTCTCATAAAAACCTATTTCGATCACACTTCTTACAGCACGCTTCTTTTTACTGGTTAATCCTGACTAAAGGCGCACTTTTCAGTCTCCTCCGATTTTCATAATCCGGTCAGATATTGTGTTCCAGACATATGTTCCCCCTTCATCAGCATTGATTTGGTCACCACCTAACCCTTAATGTTATGAGATTGATGAGGGATTGCCTAATAGTGGCTACTAGGAAGGCCTTTATTTTTGCATGAATCGGCCTTATTATGAGCTAGATATAATTAAGCAGGTCATTAATTCTCTTCAAATTCTCTTTACTTTTATTTTAGGCCAAATGCGGTCCCCAGTGCTTGTCCTTTATCGCTTCAACGGCAGCAGAAGCCTCCTCAAATCAACCAGGAGGTCAGTCTGCCACCGAGGGTCTCAACCTCTTCACCTCCCGAACAGCACCTCCTAGACAGCCCCCTCCTCCCTCCCTTTTGGACAGCAACATTCCACCACACCAGCAATTCACCCCTTCCAATACCTCAGCTTCAGCCATCCCTTTGCCGCGTTATCGCAAATTGGCCAGTGGTTCCTCCACCACTGGCGTTGCTGGTGGACCGCCGGCTACTTTTAGCTCTCCCCCGGGCCCCACTATCTCTGCAGTTTCATCGATTCCTCCCCAAAGGGAATTCTTTTCTGGGCTGGCGGATGACAGTGGATATCATTTGCCACCGCATCATTCTTCGTTTCACCCACAACAAATTCCTCGATATCCACTCCTCATGAGGGCTAGTGCTACAAGAAATGTAAGTTTTCCGCTTCCTACTGAAAAGGATTGGCTACCCTGTTCCCTTAAGCAAAGTAGTATAAAAAATAGTTCTCGAATAAATTTGAGGCATTTACTTTAGTTTAGAGTTTAATTCCACTCGAACGTTTATTTTGTGCATCAATAAATGATGAGTGGGCACCAAAATACTCTGTGTTTATGAAGTCTACGAAATTAAGAATGAGAGTTGGTTAACTACACAATAAATTATAAAACAGGCATGAGAAATCACTAGTGAACATGTTTTTTGTTACGCTCATTAAAGAGTGGCTATCTTAGCTTCTGTTTTGTTTAGGGTTTTCGAAAGTCTACAAAAGTTGTTTCCTTCAGGAGATCTAACTGATAGCAAAAGAAAAACCTGAGATGTGGCAAAGTGTAAAGCTAAGGCTACTTACTAATATCAAGATAACTGGGAGATGAGTTTTTCACAGGTTCATTTAGTGACTTCAGTTATTGGAAGTATGTGCAGGTTACTTTATTACTATTCCAATTCTATTCAAACCGTCAACTTTCCTTCTCAGAAATTGCGTACTTGTTAAAATATGCCGAGATCTTGTTGTTTCGTCATGCTTTAGTGTTTTCCTTCTTCCTGGGATAATACATTACTAATCTGCCAATCTTAAAGCCAGGGATGACTGATTGCTATCCCATAGCCGCCTAACTTCCATTCCCAAATCTCTAAAAGTACACCTCAATGGATATTTTGGATGCTTTTAACTGTGCGGTTTTCCTTTTCGATGATATGGGGCAGGATTGATAAAACCATAAAGAGAACGGAGTTGATTAGTTAAATTTAGCTTTCATCCTTATCAACTGAGTAATAATTTTGCTCGTCTATTTGATCGAAATCTACAAATTCATTGTTTGGTAATATTTACGCTTTGAAAGTTGATATAACGACTCTGGCTTTATTGAGGTTACTTAATTCGTACGATTTGTCTGCGATTCCGGTATGTCTTTCGCCCACTATCCATGCACTTTGTAATATATATTTATCACTTCAATCTCCAGCTTGAATCAGTTGGTTTGCTACCCGAAGAGATCGCCCGTAAGAATTCTGCTCCACGTCAATATCAACAGACAATATCGTCTTCAGGGACAGCACCAGTTAGTTCCTCTCTGGTCATCTCTTCCTCAACTGCTCCGTCCTCAACAGCTGCACCAAGCTCCTTCCGATCTCCTGAATCTATCACCACTACTGGTACTTCAATCACAAATCCCGTTTCCACTACCATTATTGGAACTCTTCAAGAGACTATTGAGAAAGCTATTACGGACGGAATTATTGTACAGAGGGGAGGACAGGATGTACCAAAGATTGATCCCTCGATAGCGGAGGCTAAAAGTGTCAAATCCATACATCCGTCTGTTAGTCTCTTGAAACCGGAGAGTGACAGAGGTGGGTTTAGTTTTACAAAAATAGTCTATTTAAAGCAAGATTTATAACCCCCGAAGAACCTTTTCCCAGTCACTTATTGTTTAGTTACCTTCTGATCACGATATCTAATATCATTTTAAGTGATCTTCCTATGCAATTCTTATTGGTAAATGATTGACAAGGAGGCACAAATGTGATAATGACTTCAAGGTTTGTATACCGAATATCGGGACTCATCTAAATATTTCTTGAATCATTCTTTTTCTGATCATTCAGGGTAAAGGAGTGAACCGAAGCTCGCTGATCATTGACTCTGAAGTATACCAAATATGAGAGATGGTATTTGTTTCAGCATAAGTTTGGTTGGCTAAAACCTCCTATTGCAGTGCACTAAACTGCTCTTCCCAATGTGCTCGCAGTTGGAAATCTGGCGAAATATTGAAGAAAGTTTCTCCAAAGCTATAAATAAGGGAGGTGGTGGTCTATTTGCGCTGTTTCGCAGTTTAACAGACAACACAAAGGGGAGCTTTTTTTACTTATTCTCTATCTTAACTTGAAACCTATAGAAAATGTGAGAAATCGACTCTTATCACATTGCAGAGATTGTGAAAGGCAGATATTCGAAGATTGAAATTTTATTAAGGGAACCCTATCACATCAAATACTTACTGGAATGATGTTTTTGTGGCTTTTTATCATTCTAGAAGCAGCCAGAAGAAATGATTAGTGCAAACAATTAATTTCATTTAAATAATATGACTATTTATCTCAGTATCTGCATAAACGGTAGTGTGAGGGACTATGCTCTGAATAGAATGCTTGATAAACAAGTGATTTATTGTTTGCAGACACCCCAACTTCCCGTTCACCATCAACCGGTGTTCTAACCAGCCCAACAATGCTGGTATTCCCCAAAAAACGCAGTCGCCTGCCAAGCAGTTGCAGTTCTGCTGCTCTTAGCGCACCTGGAAATAGACCCACGTCCCCATTAAGGTCAGGTGGTGGAGATGTGCCCACACCTACGGGATCAGCTCCGAGTGCGTCTCCCGCTTTGTCTACACCTGAAGAAAGGGCAAGAACATCGTCTACCTCAAAGTCTCCCACAATGGTTCCTCCCTCTGGAGTTACTCCCATCTCACCACCGAGTTCCGCTGATTCCCCTGGAAATCTGCAAATCTTTATTCCGGTAGGTAGATGCAAAGATTGGGTTTTAAAATGGGAGGAAGAGTCAACGCTCATAGGTCAATCAAGATTTGAGCTGTGAAATCGATAATTTACTTATACATCGATCTAATCAATAGTCTAGTTTTAACTAAGATCAAGCTTCGACTTTTCTATTATGATTAATGTTTTTTGTATTACTTAGTTCCCTGTTTACACTTCCGATAATCTCAAATAAGATTAACCTAACTGCCGAAGGTATATGTTGATTGTGCTGGTTTTAATATGGCAAAATTAAGAGGTTGCAGAAGTCGAGTTTCTCATTATACAGTCTCCATGATGCTATCCTAATCTTATTATGATTTTAACGCTTTTTAGAACGGCCTGAGGAGCTATTTCTAAGACAACTGATTAAGAAGTTGTCGCGTGAAGATAACCAACTGTTGAATGAACTAAATTATTGGTTTCTAAGAGCCAAAGAGGTTTACGAAATAATCATATGCATACAAAAGGTTGAAGGTAGTTCTGAAGCTCATCTGAAACAGGCTAGCAATACACTGGACTGGGCTGAGCTGAGTTCTGTTAATTACGACGTTTCTACATTTTACGTAACGGTGCTCTGAGACTATCGGAGCAGTTCTAAGTCTATATGAAGCCTTGGGCTTATATAAGCGTAATGTGTGTTCGACTACAATAACCAGTTCCTTTTGTTCCCTTATTTTCTCTATATTGTTTTTAAATAGCCTGAAGAGGAACCGTCCCAATTCTCGCCACATCATGAAGGACGCCATTCGACATCGCTCTCGCGTCAAACGTCAAATTTAAAATCTTCCATTGGTGGCGGCGGTTGTGTCACAAGTCCCACTCATACTAACGAGCCAATCGGCGTAAGTCCACGACAGCACAATCCTCCATTGGCCACATCGCCACCCCAGCAGCAACAGCAACCTCATAAAACACCCCAGTCTTCATCATAGTGACTGCCCATTTATTGCCACTCCCTGATATATACTTCCTTTCATATATAATCATTGACATATTTCTCACTCTCCTTTTGTGTAAGTAAATGTAATTTGTTAGTGGTGCGCTTAGATACTCTTCCTTATATCCTTACTCTCCCGTTTTTCCTGACATCTCGATATTGTGCGCTTAGATATGTACGCGTTTTGCATAGAGCGTTAGCGCGCGACGACAGTGTTTGAGTTTACTTTGCATGTTTGTTCCTGCTTTTCGTAAGGACTCTAATCAATTTACGACTAAAGAGATATCTTATTTGACAGAATGTTCTTAATACCGTTATTAAGCTCTTGAAGCAAAACCCAAACGCTATAAGGCAGTTTCTTTAATGGCAAAATTATGAATGGTTTTAGGGCGCCATTTTGGGAGTTCCTATCCTATCTTATGGTAGTGCAAAAATTAGCTTGTCATTTCGGACTTTGGAAAATCCTGTCATGATGCTAAGAGAGTATTTTATTGGGTTCATGAGATAGGAGCATGAGGAGAAAAAGACCAAGCATCAGTAAATAAAGACTCATATTGTTAGAGCGGTTTGGAAATTGCTATTAAAGACATGAAGTCAACTGATTGAAATTTTTTCACCATTCTATTCAACAACTCCTCTGTACGAAGTCTAGGTGTTGGTTCTTCTACGTGCATATCAAGTTCGGCTGAGTGTGATGCCGATGCTAAAATATGGCCATTTATTAATACTGATTCCACAACCATTGATTGTTATTTGCAACTCCTAAAACTTAAAATAAGCGAGTCAAAAGATTGAGATATTAATTATGCACATTTACTGTATAAAAAATGTATAGTTCCAACAGTCTTGGTAATTATTTTCTGTTTTGCTGAAATTTTCTACAAAGAGATAAAATTTATTAAGGCATTCGAAGTAATTGATAAGAAATTGAAATAGTGCTTTTGGTCAGTGTGCAATAAACCGAGAACAGAAAAGACATACCTGGGTGAGGTTCAAACATTTTCAGGGAGACTTCTGGCAAAAATTATCTGCATATACTACCAAGACTAATATTAAATGGGAAAAAAATAAGTCCGATTTGAGGTCTGGGAGAAATAGGCATACGTTATCACTCTAATATTTTGCAATTGTACTCATAATGCGACTATATAAATGGACTAAGAGTTTCTTTGATAGCACTTGGATTATTATCACTGGCAAGAGTAGAGGAGACAACAGAAAATAAGTAGCTTAACTTCCACGGCATGCAAAATGCAAACTCTGGGGATATATGACACCACTGCACAAGCTTAAGTTAAGTTAAGTTAAGTTAGTATTCAAATAAAAGAGTTGAACACATCTCTATTATGTCAAACCTTTAAATTATATAATCAAAAATGACTGTGCTTAAAAGAACAATAATGCCAACTTTTGGTTTTCTTTAAAATATGGCGTATTATTTTTATAAACGACACACCCATGGGTCATATCGAACTCAACGTATTAATTCACTGAAATTTAAGAAACTCACCAAATCGCCAATGAAGTAAAAAATTGGATACGAAAAGTAAGTTAAGTACCAATTTATAGCAAATTAAAAAGCTGATTTTTAGTTTTATGCTTTTAGCTCCCTCTAAACTCAAGATAAAGTTTCAAGGGATATATCCAAAGAGTTCTGTATTAATATATATTTTCTTACGCGCACGGAATATCTTATTACTGAAAAGAGCTTTAAATGAGAGTATTTTAATGCTATTTATTTAAAGAATAAACAGAGTCTCGTTTCAATTACTCAAAAATATATTTTCTAGCCAATACGGTTAATGTAGCCCAAGCGCGTCATTTGGTTACTCTGACTGAGTCCTTTCGGCAAAATGTTCCGAAGAAGGGGTGATAGAGAAAAGACAAGTGCAAAGGGAAATGTTAACGACCCTTTTGGTCTTGACATCGATCCAAATGATTTAAAATTTGACGAATCTGCACTGGAAAGGGAATTAGCTGAAATGATGGGTAGTGATGATGGGGATGAACTAGAATCTGATGATGAACCCATGTTTAAATCCAAATCTACTCTTCCAAAGTCAAAGGCGAGGACCTAATTATTTTCGTATTTTTTATTTACTTTCGGTTAAAAATTATAAATAATGGAATTTACGTTTTAATAATGCTTCTAACTTGCTAACCCCCGGCAATTTAAATTCTAATCCAGCCTCAACCCCCTAAACAGAAAGACAGTGACGATGAGTTGATTCAGGAGTTACAGTCTAAGTTGGAAATTGATGACGATGATGATAGCGATGGCGATGATAAAAGATATGAATCTCACCAGTTCTCCTCCGCTGAAGAAACACACAAAACTAAATCTGTTGCTCCTCCTATTCCATCATCTTCTTCCCCTGTGACCAGCGAGGACCTTCAAACAATCCTTGATAGAAAGCAGGCATTTGAAAGCGCTATTCATTCTTTGAGAAGTTCAAACAATATTTCTGATGCTGACAATGCATGTTTGCGCCGATACGAGCGCCTTCTAACATCAATTAACGCCATGGCAACTAAAGCTCAGAATAATATTCCTATTGATTTAAGTGAACTTCCACCCCCACCACCGCAATCTCAGCCTAACGCTCAACCATCCGATAGCCATCCTTCTCAGCACGTATGAGCTTCTTAATCCCTCCATATTCTTTCCCAATGTCTTATTTTTGACTGAGTGTACGATGTTCTACCGCTTTGTAGACCTCAACAAAGAGGAAGACCGGGGAGAATATAGTCTTGGATTATATTACTGGCGAAGGCGGCAACAAAGTCTCTGAAATACAGACGGCAGGAGTTGTTAAACAATTGAAAGGTCGACTTATGGAATATAAAGTGAGTTTAAAGAGTAACTGCTCTGAAGGATTTTAATTCTATTGCTATTCGAGTGGTGAATTGGTATAGTGTCTTAGAGTCACATAATTTTAGAATATACATTTATCCACTGTTTTATCATTTTTCAATCTCCATCGAAAGTTTCAATATTGGATCTGGGTATTTCTTATCTTCTCATTTGTAAAAATTTACCTTGATTATTCTCTCATTAACATTTTTAGTTAATACAGAGTGCTTAATTTCGTACATTATTTGTGAGTAATAAATTAAATGTTTACCCTTCGGCTTTCTTTTTTGACGGTCAACCCAAAGCTTATTGAAACTTTCAACGTTGCAGTCTTATTTATTTTGTGACTATTTCAATAAAATTCATTTTTAAATTAAACTTTTAAGTCTACATAATTTTAGAGTTTAGGTGATCCCGTTTCACAATCATTTTATCTGCACGATAGTGGAAAACTCACACGTGCTTTTGCATTCAATCTTACTTCTACGAGAACTCCCTAACCCCCTTTACACGTTCTTGTTTCATTTCAAATAGCTGTTATATCAATTAATAATCCTTTGAGGCCGTTTAATTGGAGTCATAAAAGCAACTCTCCAATTGTTATGTTAAGAGCAACCTCTTAAGAACTATTGTATTGTTTTTTCGGGCATTTTTTTCTGTTTGTCTTGAGAAAAGACGTTTGATCTCGGTTTGTTTATGCTGTTTTTTAACAACTTTAAAATGTCTAATTATACCAGAAGCAGTATAGATCTCGTCTTATGACAAATCGGAAAACTATGTACTTTCACTTTAGAGCCTCTCAATACTTATTATTTTAGGTATCGTTTGTTTGAAAAAAATCTTAACACAGATAATGTTGATCGATAAAGGGCTAACTTTTAGATGCCATCTGAAAACCATTTGGTAACTGAGTATATCTTATAACATTTGTGAAATATTGCAAGTAAGTGAAAGAATTCAAAGAAGTGGTGGGTTGGCAATAATTTTTTTGCTCATAAATGTCTGTTAATCTAAATAAAATTTTATCCTTTATATCACTATTGGTTTCCGTCCCAAGGTTCGCTCACTTCCCTCCTATGCGTTCTAGTGAACTCATTTTTACGAACACAGGAATAGCATCGTAGGGCTTTTGATGGGAAACTTGGCTTGCCTGTTACCAACCGGTAGATTTGATAATACCACCCAATTTTCATGCACAATTGTGTATCGAACCCATAACCTCTGGTTTGGCATTTCTATTCATTTGATTTAACCCATGCTTTAAATATACTGACTCTGGGAATAAGTGTAAGGTATGTGTTGTCCAGTAAACTTACTTCGTGCCTTTTACCTTTTTGCTCAGTTGTCGTAGTTGAAACGTTATTGACAAGCCATTAGTCTTATCAGGTCGATTGAAAGTCCGCAAGCGTGACGTAATGACGTAAATGAAAAAGTTAATAAAGGAGCTTTTCGACTTCTATTTAACTGAAAGGTGCACTTTTTACCGAATGGGGGAGAAAAAGTTTCGAATTTAGGAGTTGGTCAATGGGGATTAATACATATTCAGCTGAAAGATAGGTTTAACAATAAGTATGTGATAAGATCGCCGTTCATCCTAATTTCCGTGTATGTTTTATTTTACCTTAATATGCAGTCGAGAATACAATGGTAGCAACATCAGAACCTTAGATTCTGCTCCTCTCCCTCCTCCATGAGGTAGACCTTGCTAATGTTATTTCGTTTACGGGAGATCTATGCACTTCAAATTAATGTCTCCTAACTTGGCAGATCCAACTTGTTTATTTTTCCCCTAACAGGCTGCAGTTGCTCTGGCCCAAAAGGAGGGCAACAAGAGGCGTGAAATTGAGCTTATGGTCGCGGTTAATGCCTTAGTCGAATCTATTCCTCAAATCGAGTCAGGTGTAGAGGAATTCGATGAGGATAGTATGCCTCCACCCCCTGATCAATTCTCTCTTCCACCAGATGTCCTGGCTGAGGTCATTGGAAGTGCTCAAACGCCACCATCCAACGACACTCAATCAGCAACCCCTTCAGCACCGACAGTTCAACCTCAACGTGTTGACCCCGCTGTTGCTGCCCTGGCCAAAGTCGCTGCTTCTACTGTGGCTAGTAAGGAATCTCTTATGGCTCGAATACAAATGCTTAAGGTTGGTTTGGTGTTTGAAATTGTATGTAGTTTTACTGTATTCTTAGATAGTGCACTGATACGTATATTATGCTCCATAGAAGATATTCTATACTTGAAACTAACAACATTGGGTGAAAAAAGTTATAGCTAATACCCCATCCGATATTTTAAAATAATTTCTGTGTGGAAAGGTAGCAGTAAGTTTAGATAGGATATAACTTTACAGTTATGCAAAACTGGTCAATATTTCATCCTTCCACTGAAAATTTCATTGAATATTTTCTTTTTTTTAATGGAGGCATGGACTGATTCATTTTGTTTTTATCGTGCTAATAAATGAAATAGTCTACCACACGTGTATGCATAGGAGTGATACATGAATTCGAATACTCACGTGACCATTTACGTAATTGTTGGAGTCTATTTTGGGTGTACTTGAAGATATGAGAATCACCAAAATGATGACATTTGTTCGTAGGAGGTTATGCAATGTTGCAACGCGCCGGAAAATACGCTGTTTCCAGAATCCTTGTGGGGATAAAGTTAATTCTATTTCTACCGGGCTTCTTCCATACGCGATACTATTGTCGCCGGTCTCAATTAGTTAAATTATCAGATTTATCAACTGTTTGTTCTTTTAATATCAGAAAAACAGATTTAACCAATCCATCACTTTTATTTACTGGCAAATCAGTAGTGACGCTAACAATCTCTCTGAAATTTGAGAAGTTGTGCCTCAAGTTTAAGCTTTGCATTGAACTATGAGCACTAAGCGTTATGGCAACAGCCTAATTATTTCAGAAGTTGGTTGTAATGAAGGTCCCTCAATGCCTTGACCTTTATTTACTACTGCTGGCTTTTTCACTCCCTACTCCACCGTTATTCCACTTCTTTCCTTGGTTACAATGAGTGGAATTCTTTGCGGTATTACGCGAATAGGAAATATTCACCATAAAATTTGACTTATGCGTAAAGTTTATTTCAGTTAACTTGAACCTACAAAGTAATGCTTAACTACAGTTTTATCCGTTTTGAATTAAACATGAGAATGGCGAAATAGCTTGCGCTGACTTGTCTAACCTCTATGCAACTCTTTGTTTTCTCAATTTACGCGCTTAGACAATTCCTTGGTATCGATTTTCTAGTAGTTATCTTCTTATCGTCATTTCCGGACATTTGTTAATAATCGATAGCAAGGATCCTCAGGCAGCAAATTTTTAGCCAGATAATGTCTCTATTGTCGCATCGGTTGTTTATCAACATTGGAATAACCTCGAAAGCAACTAGTATCTCATCTTAAAATTTTAAACAGACATGTACACCATTCAAGTACTTGTGAACTTGTGAAATTCACAAATGTTAGTGTTTAAAAGCCTTAAACTAGTGGTTACAATGAGTATAAAGGAAAATTACGCTATATACAGGGTGTTTGAAATGAATCTTCCAGAGCAATATTTGGTGATTTTTTCTAGGTGTTCGCGAGAATGAATAACTGGGACTTAACTAAATCGTGGAAGAAAATAACATTGGATTGTAATAATTCGGGTATATTATATCCGCTGCTCATTGCGCCTTGACCACAAGGCATTAAATGTGGAATTAAGATGGAGATTACGGGGATGCTGTGAGTATAGAGAAATCCATACTTTTTTGCCATCGAAACCACTAATTTGTTAAATATCCCTCTTAAATATTAACGCTGATGGTCGAGATTTATAAGAACTATTTATATAGGTATATTCTTTGGTCCTTTTTAACCGTTGTTTAAACCTCCTTTAGGCAATGATTCAAGGTTCAAATGACCTTCAAAAGCGAATGTATCAACGAGCATTGGACAATTACTCCAAGGGTCTTCGGGCTTTCGAAGCCGGAATCAAGTACGATTATGGCGGACTTCCCCCTCTCCCTGGATGTCCACAGTTCACCTCTGCAGCACCCCCTCCCAAACGTCCCTCGGCAGGAGGACCACCAGGAGTGCAGTCGGCCAGTTCCAACCCTTCAACAAGTGGAATGTCTTCTAACCAAGCTCGTACCTTGGAACTCCTTCAAAAGCGGCAGGCTGAATTACGTTCGGCTTCCGCACACTTCAAGTCGACTGGAGATATAGCCAAGGCGAAAGAGTATTTGCGTCAATCACTGGGAATGAATAATATGATTAGAGCGGTGCAGGCAGGATTGACTGTTGACTTGAAGCAACTCCCTCCGGCTCCCGGAGCTCGTGCAGTGAATTCTTCATCTTCCGTTGCTGGCCCGGCAATTTCCAGTCGACCAGTCTTGTCGGGAGTTGCTTGCGACCCTCCGGTTGAGTTTCAAACGGCCTTGATTAATGCCGACAATGGTACATAACCTAGTATTTCAGTTTCATTGTTATTTTTTCCATTCTTATTAGCTAATCAAAACAATACTCATCATTGAAATCATTTCAAGCCTACAAAATGTCAGAAAGTTGTGGGTACTACACTTCAAGATTTTTGGGCATCATAAGTGTCTTAGGAGTTGATAATATTTATATGCTTTCAAGATAGATGAATAATAGATGAATGATAGCGTATTTTTAATAAGTTCATTCTTGTAATGCCCGGGGACATGTGTCAGAATTGGAATTAGGTGAAACGTTTCTGTGTGCTTTTAAGGTTAATCAGACGGTCCCAATTATGGCAGTAGCTGATTACATAATTAGTCTCTTTGTAAGACATGTAAATATTTCAATTATCATGTTAACTGTTCTGAAAGACTGGTATGTACACTTGATTCCAGATTGTTTCTAGTTCTTACAATGTTACGGAATAGATTCCCTTATTGGGTCTGTGTAGTTTTAACTAAGGTATATTAGGCTTGTTTACGTATAGAAATAAAATCCAACATAAATTTTTCCTAACCTAACTAACCTCTTCTAACAATTCGCAGATATTGAGTCGTTTTGTTAGTATGAACAGATTTTTATTCATCATTCTTAAAGCAAATATTGTTTGTCGTAAAAATGAAATTTGTATCCCTTTTTATACTGCAGTAGTATATATGTTGTTTGCAATGCTAGCTTTCTTTTAGATTTCCTTATAAATTTTAGGATTTTCAAACTTAACTGCAAATTCGCGCAATTTTGATCTGCAATAAAAAATTAGAAGACACTCTACTGAATATGAATCAGTAATATGACTTGTTCATTTTTACTTTGTTCGCTTTTTCAGATCCAGTTAAAATCTGTGACCGAATAATTGCTCAGTTGGAAGAACAAGTGAAGGAGGCTGAAACTCTCTCTAAGGACCACCGTGAAGCCGGCTTATCCAATCTCGCTGATAAATTCTATGATTTAGCTGACGTCTCACTCAAGTGGATATCTCTAACAAATGCCTACAAGTCTCGCAAAAAGGTGCCCCATTATTCCTTTGAGAAGGCCAACCTCTCCCGTCTCAATATGAATCCAGAACTTGGAGATAACGTTCTTGAGGTGACTCCCTTGAGGGGAATATCATTCCCTGTTCCACCTGGTATTAGTGGACCTCATGGATTAGATACTTATGTCACTATGGAACTACCTTTTCCCTCATCTGAAAATCCCCAAAAACACTCCACTGAATGGGCTCGTCATACAAACGAACCTTCGGATTTTGGTGGCTATCAAGCATCGGCTAGGTTTGAGGTTAATAGAAAGGCTAGATCCTACGAGCGTCTTTTGAAGGGAGTTAAGGCACTAAAAGTCACGGTAAGCTGTTGTGCGGCAGATGACTATTGAGGGACCTTCAATTTCTTCACTTCTTCGGTGCTTTGTAGGTCTTTTACAATCGTGGCTTACTGAAGAAACCGGCCCCATTAGGAACAATAACGGTTAAACTAACGGAATTGGTAGCTAATGCTACTCATACTGCTTGCTATGAGTTGATGGATGGTCGAAAAGCAGCTGGTGGTCTTTTGGAGTTGAGAATAAGACACAGGACTCCTCTTGAGGTGAGTGTTTTGACATGCTTGAAATTGCAAATAAAAGGAAAACGGAAGTTCTAAGTTAAATTAGCTGATAAGGAATAATAGGAAAGGGAAACTCTCGGGACAATCGAACTTCCAGCTTCTGCCATCTTCATTAGGCATTCAGAAGGTTGGATGTGAAGGCGTTGATACTCGTGCTATTATTATATGAGCGTGTTACATTCTAGGAGTTAGAAGTAAGCTTTGACGATTCTCATATTTATTTCAAATGGCAGGAATTTTTTTAAATATTTACTATTAGCTCTTTAGTTGACTTTGGGTTTCGCAGAAGGGAGGAGCATAAAGTCACAAAATGTCGAGGGGGGCAGAAGAGGGTTTTGAAGATGTAACAGAGACTGACAGACAGAGGTAGAGAGTAGAGTAAGGTGAGTACTGTGGAAGTTAGCCGAATAAGAGATTCAATCGGGTGATGTTAGTTTGAGGTCAACTGCTAGTTTATTCATTTTTTGCCGTTTGAGCATATGTTGTCAATGGTGCACCTCACTATTATCATATATCAACACGTAAATTATGGTTAGCATGTGTAATGAATTTGTCAAAGAATCGCTATATTCCAAAGTACTTAGCACTTTTCCCCGTTTTATTAACTAGCTACGCAAATGATAGAAATAGAGAAGTAGGGAATCACATAGTCTGAACTACTCGTAGAATCCTGGCCAGGATCTATCTTCTTTCGAAAATACTTGGAAAAGAAATCTTTTCTGTTGTTGTTGTTGATAGAAAAGTCACATTGGTCATCAGCACGAGACAAAAGGGGAGAGCAGCAATTTTAATGGAAACAGCGAAAACGCAATTTTGATTAAAAGGCTTAATTATGTTATACCGTGTTAATTTAACACTTTTGATTTTGTTCCTTTTGAAGCACAGCTTACAAAATTTGATCTTTTAGCAATGGCATGATTTGTAATTATGTTTAACCATAGCTTTATTTGGAAATTTATCGAGTTATCTAAATGAGGCTAAGGTATTCTATCTTTCCGATTTTACTCATTTTGAATTTGGTATTCTGAGCTTATAGGGTTGATCCAAGTGTCGGCATTCCTTGGTGAATTTTTCCTTAAGGTCATTTTTATGAGTGTTTTAAATGAAGAGTTTAAAAATAAAAGCCTAAAGCGAATTAATTTATGCAAAAATGTTATCTTTCTTTGGAACTCTTAAAGATAAAATAATAAAAGATATTTTTGTTGCTTTTGTTTATTTATCTTTTCTATAATTTATTAACGAGTAGACCTTTAATTTTACAGATAGATCAATTATTCCACAGAATCTTGTAATCACTTGAATTTACACTCAAAGAGGCTCTGTGCAAAGCAAAGATTTTGCTTATTATTAATCAGCACTTAAATCGTAAATTTTTAAGTGCTAACGCGTAGATTGAATAGGGTGTCTTGTGCAAATAAAGCTTAATGAAAATTCGGAATTAAATTAAACTAATTTTTTTTGCAGGGAACCAAATTCAGTGCTTACGAAAAGCCCTGGATATGTGTGTCAACTCCGAAGCACTAGATGTGAAGAATGGGAGGAGAGGGGGCCGAATTCTTTGTGATTTATTCTTAAACAAGAACTTTTGAAAAATCCTCATTAAATGACTTTATTCAGATTAACGCCTTATTTGGTGTCAATGATTGGAATTGTGAGGTAATAAAGGAAAGACAATCAAAGAAGTTCCAGAATACTGAAGATATCGAATTAAATAATTACGTGGTTATCGGAGCTGTTTCGCAGTAATTAAGCTTATAAACGTTCCTAAGATGAATGAACTGCTTTCACTTTCAACCAAGCCCTACTTCTGCAATAGTTGTCTAAAATTAACATCATCTTGGATATTAAGTGGACGCGCTTCGATAAGCATCCTTACTATTTTAGACTAGCTACAAAACTTAGAGCTAATTAAAGTTCATAGTGTACATCATTCACTAGCAGAACAGGGGAATTTGAAGGTGGTTTGGATAACGGAAAATCCAATAATTAGATTTTCATATTTATTAATGTACCAAAAGGTGCTTGCATCAAAATAAAGTTGTTCTAGCCGATGTTAAGACAAAGCTCATTCTATATTTGGATACATTCAAAGTGATCAATATCAGCTTATGATTGTATGAATATTTTAGTTCTAATTTTATTTTTACATTTCAATATCAAGATTCACTATCTTTAGATCGAAGTTACAAATGTAGTGAATTGCTTCACAAAAAAGACTTGACTAAACCTCAACAAGCTCTATGATTTGGCCATTCAAGTATGAAATGGCTCCTTAGTAATAGTAACTAGTGTTTGGCGTGAATAGCGCTTAAAAAGGGTTGTGTCGTTGACACAAGGCTTTGTAATAAAAGTACCATGTGGTTTACGCTAACCATGGTGTAGTTGTCAATTGCCTGAGAGATCTTTGAACTCACGGTCGCACATGGTCCATAGTGGGATCATCGGTACGGCCCAACTTGGTGGCTGGGTGATAAGCACTAACGGTTGTTCAAGAATACTCAAGTGCACAAAAGATTCTTTGATTTAGCCACTTTGGCGTAGTATTATAAACATATCTAAATGAAGTTTAAATACCGGCGCATAAGTAAAAGACAAAATAAAATAAGCAAATTTTCAAATAAGTTCAAGCCAAAAGATATATTTAAAAAACAATCATGCACAGAGTATGGAAAGGCAAATGAAACTAAATAACTACAAAAAGAAAAATGCGAAATAGCGATCAAATAGGGAAAAGAGAGCAAAAAAACCGGAAGAAAGCGGGAGCAGATATAAGGATTGCAGATGTTCACAGAGGGCACATACCACCTCCCTCCACTGACCACGCTCATTGGGTCACTGGGACGTGGGCGATGAAGTGGGGGGATATAGTAGTGGATGGAACTACATGCCCACCTCCACCACATTAAGCAGCGGCGGCTCTTCAAGGTGACTCACCATGCGCACCTGACGCGCGCACCACATTGGTCAGCAGTCAGCACTGCATCCTCCTCGTCCTAGGCACATTGGCAACTCAACTCAACGCAACTCAACTTTCCACCACCTGCTTCGCCACCACCTCCATTGGACCCATTGGAGGGTGTGTAAAAGGCAAGGCAATGGGTGACAAGTTGCGAGCACGCCAGGATTCGAACCTGGAATCTTCTGATCCGTAGTCAGACGCGTTATCCATTGCGCCACGCGCCCACACCCACCCGCAAACTCTACTACTTCTCCCGCAACCATCCCACACTCACTTTCACTCCCACTCCCCGCCTCTGTGCCCCACTTCCTCGCGCCATTATGAGCACTTGGAGGTAGGAGATGGGAGATGAGGAGAAGGCCAAGGCAGTAGGACAAAGTCGGGGAGAAGTGGGACAGTGAGTGCGGGTGGGTTGCTGCTGCTGC